ATTTTTTTATAATTTATTAACGTATAATTAATTTATTATTTAAAAATTTTATTTATTTATAATATTATATTTATTTACATATTATGTTTATTTAATATTATTTTATAATTATAAATTTATAATTTTAAATAATATTATAATTATAATATTGTTACTAATTTATGAACAAATTTAACATACAATTTTTTTATACTATAATTTTACATGTTACTATATTTATTATATTATTTAAATTTTTTTATTAAAATTTATAATATTATAATATAAATGTAAGTACATAAAATTATAAATAAAGATTATATAAATAAATTATTAAGTTCTAATCTAAGTACAAAAAATGCAATGTCAGTCGCCATCTCCTCGTCAATTCTCAATTGTATAGAACATCCCACCTTCCCACTAGTTTGACCCTGGTGCTTCTTCACACTTTTTTGCTTCCCTACGCTCCACACAACACTACAGTACTACACCCTTTCCCCCAATTCCCCATGCATAAATTTCTTATTTTTTCAATCCATTTTAATACGATTAATACTGTAATCTTTTAGCACTACAGCATGATCAAAGAAAACACTCATCTTTTACATTATTATTGCATTTTAACCAAATCAACTAGTATGGTTCGGTTTAGATTCATTTTCTACATAAAGTATTTCCAAGAAATTAGTCTACATTCAAGCCGTGTATCTTGTATGTAAGTTTTAATTGATTTCCTAATCAATGGAAGAAAAATGCAATCCCTTCTCTATCAAGAGAGGAAAAGTCTCTTAGCACCCAAAAATGAAAATCAAAGCTTTGGAAAAACCCTTTTTTTTCTTTTGAAATGTCTTCTCTTCTGTTCATATTCTACAACAGTGTTTGGATAACCAGCATCTTCGGCTGTGCGGTTGGGCTTTTGTAGTGGACTGAACCACTTGCAGGTCAACCAGCCAGACCCATGGAGCCATGTTCACACCCATGGCTTGAGCCTCGTTGACGCACCTTCATTAAATGACTCCGGTGGATGGTGAAAGCGACAGTGGATTAGCAGAGACCCGACGGTTGAGCAAACACCTCTTTTCTTCATTAATGTCTGACCCATCTTAAATCCCCGTGCCATCATTCATTATTCTCAAAAACCCTTCCAGCTACATTCAAGATTAAACCCAGTAAAAATTTTCAGTTTTTTTGACCCACAACCAAGATTTGAAGCAAAAAGATTCATAATTCATTCATGTTCATGCAAATTCTTTGACTCATGCGGTGCTGATTTTTTAACCGTTTAAATTATTTATCTGGGTCGGCGTTGCTGGAGGAACAACATCGAATGCAGAATCAAAGCTGCTGTTGGAGGTAAGAGTTTCCCAAGAACAATAAAGGGAAAAACAGAAAGAAATTTTTTTTCCCTCAAAAGGGGTATACCCAGAATTTGATTTCTGTCAAACAAGTACATAACTGTTCAGAGGGAAGAGAAGAACTGGTGGTAATGGCGATGCTTAACATCAAGAATAAAAGAAGATGACCCATGGAAGCTCCTAAGGGATTACCGGTATTCTTGTTAGCTTCTCTCATCTTGATCTTGATCCAGAGTGCGGTGGGGCAGCATGTTTCCCTCAGTTCCGCCGGTGAACGACGGGCATTGCTCGATCTACGGTCCTCGTTGGGGCTCCGAGGGAAAGACTGGCCCAAAAGAGCCGACCCTTGCTTGTCGTGGACCGGGGTCCACTGCGAGAATGGTCGAGTCACACGGATTTCCGTGTCTGGGTTGAAGCGGACCAGGCTCGGTCGTCTCAAGCCCAGCTTCCATGTCGATTCTCTGGCCAATTTCTCCACGTTGGTTTCTTTCAATGCTTCGGGGTTTTCACTTCCGGGGTTGATACCGGAGTGGTTTGGCAGCAGTTTGTCGGCACTCCAGGTTCTTGATCTCCGGTCTTGTAGAGTCTATGGTCCGATTCCTGCTTCCCTTGGTAACTTGAGCAAACTCCATTCTTTGTATCTAAGTGACAACAGTCTAG